ACTTAAAGGATTCCTAATATATTCACAGACGTATTTAAAAGTCTCAAACCATAATATTCTTCCTATAAAAACAGTTATTCACTATTTGGTAGAGCCATGTCAACTGTCAAATTTGACTTATTTTTCGATGATCTCACCACGTGGCATGCATTGTCTCTCTTTGGATCTCAATATTTTCCCGCTAGATGGCCAAGACCTAGTGTTTTTGCAGTATTTCGACACGCAAATGTATGACGTCATCATTTCAACCATCAATGAACGCATGGAACTAAAACAAAGCTTAATATAAAGGAAAAACTAGAGAAGTGAGGGAATTACCTACGATGTCGGAATATACCGCGTTTACCCTATATTCCAGCCAAGCTATATCAACATTCATTTAATTTCTAATAGATATACACAATAGTGGCAGATAATTCCATGTTTTTACTACCTATTTGTCAGTTTGGGTGATGGGTCCTCTGTCACACCGCATTTTTGTGAGATGGAAATTCCAATTCTGCATCCAGCCTGATCGCCCTGAGCCTGATGCATGCATTTAACATTAGCCTTATTAGGTACTTGGCTTAACCTACCATCGTTGGATTGATAAAAACCTCACTATTATAAATAGGAGAGAGACTAATTCAAATTTTATGATTATATTGATAACGGCCTCCGGACAATTGGAAATTATCGGTCATGCAAGGCCTATAAGCCTATTTAACAATGTAAACAACTTTTGAGGAAGAGGAACTAGGTATCTTTATCTTTGTTGATACAACAGCTATAAAGACAGAGCTACTGAGAAAGGCAACCGCGGGGACGCGTGACCACCGATAGCTGTAGTACGGTTTGTGTCAACCATACGGCCGCGAAGCTTTCACGTAAGGAACGGTCGTTTAGATGATGATGATGATGTCTTCTTTGAGGTGTAGTAAATGACCTCACACAGGTCGGTTGTCACACCTGGACATGACAATTTATTTCAGGCTTGTAGTTGCATTATCAGTTGGGGCCACATCGTTTGCTTTAATTATTTTGACCTCACAGGGTTTCCAATCTTCCGGTGCTTGCGAGGAATGCAGATAACGCCCCGATAATGAGGTGCTGCTCCCGTTTTGCGATGTCTTCACCTCCAAGCAGTGCGCGCACTGTTAGCTCCTCAATGCCAATGTTTTCCAAGGTCTGTCTCATTAGTTGACGAGCATCCCTGTAGCTGCTACATTCTAGCAAGAAGTGATCAATGGTTTCTTCCACTCTGCAATTCCTGCACAGTGGAGAGTCAGACATTTTGAAGCGATGCAGGTAAGCTTTTACCCCTACATGTCCCAGACGAAAGCGGGCCAATACAACAGCTATTCGACGGGACTTTGCATGCACCCAGGGGACTGGCAGCAGATTTCCTCTAACTGATGCAAGATGTCTGCCTTTGCCAGACTCAGCAACAGT